ATACGACCCCAACCGGTAGATCATGTTTGTTTTTTATTCTCGGGGTTTTTACTCAATTGGAGTGATCGGTTTCGACATTTAATTGTGATGAGGGAGGGGTTGGTTGTGTTGTGGGGAGATTACTGTAGGGGTAATTAGATGGATTTTGTGGTCGAGGTGATTGGGACGGGAGAGGTGAAATTTTGTGGGGATTAGTTTACGCACGAAGAGAATATGAAATTAAGAATTATGATGTACGCTGTTAGAAATTTCAAGGAATTTCAGTCACAGTTGTGGGTTTCAATTTAATTTCAAATCAGTAGCGAAGTGGTAAACCGGTACAAGTCAATTTTGACTATTGACCCGTTTTCAATGAATATCTCGGAATCTAAGGGAGGCAGCACAATTTTTGTTATAACCTTTTTTGTAGAGGCGATTGGGAGCTACAACAAATGTAGTTACGAAAATTTTGCAATCTCCCTTAGGTTCGGAAATATTCCTCAAAAACTCAACTGGGAGGTAAGTCGACTTAAACGGTTTCACCACTTTGCTACTGAAATGAAAACGTTTATAAAATTTCTCATTCATTTTGATAATTTAAGAAAATTAGGTTGTTTATGTTGAGCAATCGTTGATGTTTTGATGAATGCTTGAATCTTCAAATTCATTGCGAAAATTAAACATTGGATGCAATTGACTTTTTAATTGACCGGGAATTAAGAAAAGCCGTTGCCTGAATTTTCCCAATTTTCAACAAGATATTAAATTTCCTTCTATCAAGTTGGTTAATGTCCCTCAAATAAATCTGTTCCACTCCATTAAATATTCTCACGTGGAACAGTTTTTCGACAGAATTAATTTTTTCTATTTGTGTAATTTTTAGGAATTTTTTAGAAATTTTTATAAAACTCTGGAATTCAATACTTGATACTTGACCTACACTGATAAAAAAACAGCAGAGTTCTCAAACAAGTCTAACTCATACCAAAAAAATTTTTAACTGATCAAAAAAGGATTTTTTTGTGTCAAACATGTGAAGCTGCACCGAGATTGAAAAAATAGATTCAGTCATAAAAAAAAAAATTGTTCTCTGTGCAAGCAAGAAATGTAATTCCTAGCACTACTGCAAATGAATTCTTGAATGAAACAATAATAACGATATGACAGCAAGCTTGTAACTTAGGGACAAAATATTTCTGATAAACTCCCCTCTATAAAAGATATTTTTATCCTGAAAAGGCACCATATTGTATGAATGATCCACCTCTTGCGCTAAATATTTCGTTGTTGTTGGAAGCAGAGTAATTATTCATATTTGAGACTTTCAAATTCAAACCAAACAATTATATTTTTGATAATGTTCAACTAACGATTTTGTTGGAGCCAAACAAGACTTGTTTGAGAACTTGTTCGTTTTTCTCTCAGCGTACACGGAGAGAAATATTCAATAAAAATTACGTATCGTTTCCGTAATTCTGAAGCGAAAAGTGATTGTAGTAAATTTTACGGAACTGTCACGCAATTATTCCAGAGCGTTCCGTAATTGTTATCTGAATCTCCTGTGAAAAATTACGATGCCGTCACTTAAATTTTCTGAGTCGATTCCGTAATCGGTGAGCAAACTCTGAGTTCCGTAATTTTTACTGAATATTTCTCTCCGTGTATCGCTAATTTTCCGGAATACATCATCAAATTTCAGCGATAATCGCTGATGTTCCTGCAAATTGAGAAAAATTGTTTCTCCGTGCCACATAAACAAATCAATTATATTTAACTATAAGCAAATCCCCCTCTAAGTGTCTGCCCTTCCCCCGCCTACTCCCTCCAAAAATTCTCCAACCCCAAAAAAAAGTCGA